ATATATATATATATATGTTAATTCTTAGCACAGGCAATTAATTCTCAGGCACATCTCTGAGTTCAAGGCTAGCCTGATCTATAAACCAGTTCTGGGACATCCTGAGCTACACAGAGAAACCCTGCTGTGTGTGTGAGAGAGAGAGAGAGAGCAATCTAATTCTCAAAGGAGATTAAAGGAGAAAATAAATGAACTCTTGCTGTTGAAATGGAATAGAGATTTACAGAAAGAGTTAAAGATTTCACTTTTAAAGGAGGTAACAGGCTTTCAGGACACTCTCCACCAACCCTATCCCCTTCCATTCCTGGGCACTTCTGTAACTGTGCCACACATCCAGGTTTCCTCTTTCCTCCAATCCCTCTGTGTCTGAAGCCTATATGTAGAAAAGCTGTTTACCTGGGACCCACACTGGACTCCAGTGGGTGATTTCCACGGTCCTTCCTGTCCCCCATTACACTGTCTCATCCTCACTCCCAGCCCAGTAGCAGCCTGGTTACAGTAGCCTGTCCCTCAGTCCTGTTTCCTTGCTTGGGGATCATGCTAAACCAGCTTTCTTTTTCTTTTGGACCCTCCCCCCTCCCCCAATTCCAGCTTATCCTGATCCCTTCCTGTCAGCCCCTATGACCAGGAAGTACATTGTACCTGGGACCCCAGTGGCTACATCTGGCAGGAGCTCAGAGAGGGCAGTCACACTCTCCTTCCTGATCTCTCCACACTCACCCTCAGATACATAACAACCTGTATACATGTCCCCCTTTCCCACCTCAGCTCCATTCACTGGAGACTCCAACTCTTGCTTCAGACCCGGGGTCCCCCTAGCCCATCCAAGAGTGCCTCTCCAGAATCTTCTTTGCCTTAGGTCAACCTACTGCAGAAGGCCCACTTTCTATCACAAGTCTACTTTCCTGGGGACCCCATCACTTGATGTAGACAGGATCCCCTTGCCTATTTTCTGGAGCAACTCTAGGGCCTTTTACCTAGTCCACCTCTGTTTCTCTTTGCCATCCACCAACCTGCAGAAGCATTGTCTATCCGGGAACCACAACCACCACACTCTCCTACGACCAAGAGAGGGCAACAGAAACCAACAACAGAGCACCCACACAACAAAGACCAGACATCAACACCTAAAATCACCTCAGTCATCACAAACCCAGAGGCCAAGACACCAGCATGGAAACACAAGGACTTCAAAGCAGCAGTTCTGAATATGTGCAAGTACCTTACAGAGGATATGGCAAAACCCTTAATGACGTCTATGAAAACACAAAGGAACAGTGAGGGACGTGATGAAAAGTGTTCAAGACATGAAAGTGGACATGGAATGGCTAAAACAAACCCAACCTGAGATAAAACTGGAAATGAAAAGATGAGGAAGTCAAACTCAAACCGCAGAGTACATAACAGAGATGAGAGAATCTCTGGTGTTGCAGATAAGGCAGAAGAAATGGATACCTCTGACACAGAAAACGTTAAATCTCTGCACAGCTCAGCAAACTTTGCTGTGTCACTAGGCATGGTCCTTGTGACGATTTCTATAGCTCTGTCTTGGTGAGAACAATTCCAGAGATATAATGTCCATGTCAGTGTTCAGTTGCCTCTCTACAACTGAGTGTGGTACTATAGCATCTGGATTCTCAGATGTCTGTGAATGTGCCTGCATGTTTTTCTTAATTTAAATATTGCTTCCTATTAATGAAATGACAAGTTGTCATTTTAAAACTGTGTTGACAAAGCATGGGGTAAAATCCCTTTATTCTTTACCCAAATCAAAATTCTTGGTCAGGATTACACACACACACACACACACACACACACACACACACACACACACACACACAAAAAACCAGAGAGACAGATAGATAGAAACACACACACATAGAGATATCTGTAAAGTCTGAAAGTCTAGAACCCTTGGCTCCCAGATAGTAGATGTCATCCCTGTCATTTTTATTGTTCCCAAACCATACCCTTGCTGATTCACAAACAGGAAAGAATGCACCAGGGAGCTGGGATCAGGGTAGAAATGAACAGGAATCATTTGGACTTTTTGGTTTATTTCCTGACACTAACAGTGTGTTGCTTATGATTAGGTACCAGAACCTTTTGGAAGCCTTTGTCCAGGATAGTGTGACAGCCTTCATTTACACCAGCTCAGTTCAAGTTTCAGAGCCCAACACCTACAAGGAGATCATGCTGAATGTCCGTGAGTAAGAACAACGTGAAAATACGTGGTCTGATCCATGTCCACACAGCACAAAGATGGGTGGGAAGGCAGTGCTGGCCACAATGGGTGAATCCTAACAAATGGTGACACTTTTCATACTTGAGCCTCAAGGCCCACATACATTTATGGGGAGGGAAGCTCATTCCTTTTGGGGTAATGCTTACAGCTCTCAAAATAATGGTATTGTGGATGTTACTGGGAAATTCTCCACAGTCCATCCATTTATGAGGGCAATGCAACCTGAGCTCACATTTTGGCTGCCAGGGTCCAAAGAGACCACAGATGTCACTAAGCATCCAAGGACAGATCCACGACATCTCAGATAACACCCATCAGGAAAGCTATGATGATTTACATTGCACCCTGAGCAAGCACTGGAGCCTTCCTCTGCCCCTGCTGCAGCAGTTCCTGTTCTTGGCTTAGGATTCCTTACCATGGAAAGCAGCCAACACAGTTCACCTGGAAAACTGATTTGAAGCCTTCATCTTCCCACAGAATCCTGGAGGCCACACCAGTTTGTCAAAGGAACAGCAGAGACCTGGAATATGGGCTGCTGCTCCCTGAGAGATCCCTAGGACTCCTGGCATCCCTCCTGTCCAGCCCTGAGCATGATACTCTACAGAATCAGGAGAAACCTTGAGGGGCACCTGGGATGCCACATTTGCTTTAAAAAATGATCCTAGTCAGAAGTTGGGGAAGCAGAGCTATTGTCAGCCTCCACTTGAGCTGTACAGGACTTTCCTCTGAGACAAACAACTGCCATCTTAGGAAGCTCAACTATGCCTAAATGTGGATCATCCCAGCTGACCTAGTCAACTGTTGACTTAGCCTTTTAGAAGAGGGGGCAGAAGGATCATGGGACTCTCACCTGGGTGTCTAGCCACTCCATACCACCTGTTATACACAATTCTACTCTAATTGCATATGGTCCCAAGGAGGGGCTAGCGTATATAGGACTAGAGAGAGGAGGGCTCTGTCTATTCAGCTGTGAGAAAAGTCATCATCCCTACTATATAAAGACTTTCTAGTGTAGCCTTCTGCATGGAGCATCCACACTCTTGTAAGTAACTGCCTCACCTATGCACTGAAATTAAGGCCAATAAACTCACTGCTATGGCAGGAGGAACTTTAGTAGTACCTTGTCTTGGTTTGTTATTGGAGCCTTAGGAAAGGGGGAAGACATTGTGTATGTCTCCTCAAGGGAAAGAATTTTAGCAACAACTTCTAGCATCTGTATCACAGGAAGTTCTAGAACACACCTTGATGTGTATGGTTATTCCCAGTCTTGAGTTTCTACCTATACATTTACACAGTGGCACAAATTATGAGTTTGTGGTGCCCACAGAGGCTCCCTAGTAAGGCCTTACTCGAGGTTAGAAAATCTGAGCTTGCTTTACCCAGGAGGGTTGTACAATAGGATGATTTGGCTAGAGGTGTGGTTACCAGGTGTTTGGAAGCGTCTACACTTGTTGGTATGTTTGCTTTGATCTTGAAAGGGGGAGGTCTTTTGCCATATCCCCTAGTTAGTGTATAAAAGGCCCATTATGAATAAACTCTGGGCAGCTGGGTATTGACCCTTGACCCTTCTGAAGCTATCCTGTGTCTCTGTGTTTCTCTCCATCTCCATCTATATTTCTATCTAATACTTCCTCATTTCTCTTTCTTCCCTCCAAGAACCGTTCCACAGGTCAGAGCTGGTCTCCTACATGAGTTCACAGCAAAATAAAAACAAAAATATGTGGATTCATCCCTAAAGTTGTTTCCCACTGAGCCTGAGCTGTGGAGTACTGCCCTTCCCTTCACATTTAATTGTTTCTCCTTCTTCCTCCATATCCATAGCTTCCTTCCATACCCACAATCTTCTCTCCTTTATCCTCAGCCTCTTCCCTTCTTGCCACTTCCGGTATTGTCCATTTCAAGTTTCCTGAAAAGAGGAAGCAAATAGAGACAGGTTTGACATGTGGCAGGATTCAGACAGCAAAGTGCACTTGCCATTGAGCCTGACCACCTGAGTTCAAGTCCTGAGACCTACATGGTGGGAGGAGAGAACTGACTCCAGCCTCAGTGCCACGGTATGCATGTGTGAGCTCTCTCTCTCTCTCTCTCTCTCTCTCTCTCTCTCTCTTGCTCTCTTGGCTTATGGCATGGTTCTTTTTACTTATTTATTTTTTTAAACAACAACAGGACCCTCTCGAAGTTGCACAGATTTTTTACTTATTTATTTATTTGTTTATTTATTCATTCATTCATTTATTTATTTATTTATTTATTAAACAACAACAGGACCCTCTCGAAGTTGCACAGATTTTATTTACAAACATATATATATATATATATATTTAAACAATAACAGGACCCTCTCGATGTCATGGTTCTTAATTGATTTAGGAACCAAAAGTCAAATACCCTGTCAAGTCCACAGAGACAGTGATAATCCAAAGCAGGTATAAGGTTGGCAATCTTGTAGGGATAAAGATGCTACTTTCTAAACTTGGTTATTGTTTCTTCTGTCTTACAGGATAAGAGTCTTACCTAACACCAAGCTTTCCTCTTTGTCCTGTTCTATAGCACATTTGCTCATTCAGACAGAAAAGATTACAGATATGCAGTAAAGACAGATTCAGATGGAAAAAAAACCTCTAAATGGGTCACAGTGTGTTTAAAAAATATGCATTGAGTATTTTTCCATCAATGTTCATGAGGGAGATAGGTCTGTAATTCTTTTTCTTTGTTGCATCTTTGTGTGGTTTGAGTATCAGTTTAACTGTAGCCTCATAAAAAGAGATTGACAATGTTTCTGTTTCTATCAGGTGGAACAATTTGAGGAGTTTTGATATTAGCTCTTCTTTGAAATTCTGGTAGAATTCTGCACTGATCTGGTCCTTGACCTTTTTTGGCTGGGAGACTTTTAATGACTGCTTCTATTTCCTTGGGGGTTATTGGTCTATTTAAATTGTTTATATGGTCTTGATTTTATTTGGGTGTATGGTACCTATTCAGAAGATTGTCCATTTCTTTTAGATTTTCCAGTTTTGTGGAGTAGAGGTTTTTGAAGTATGACCTGATGATTCTCTGAATTTCTTCATTGTCAGGTGTTATGTCCCCTTTTCATTTCTGATTTTGTTCATTTGAATGTTCTCTCTCTCTCTGCCTTTTGGTTATTCTGAATAAGGGCTTGTCTATCTTGTTGATTTTCTCAAAGAACGAACTCTTTGTTTTATTAATTCTTTGTATTGTTCTCTTTGTTCGTATTTTATTGTTTTTAGCCCTCAATTTGATTACTTCTGGCATCTATTCCTCCTGGGTGAGTTGTCTCTTTCTTTTTTCTAGAGCTTTCAGGTGTGCTGTTAAGTTGCTAATGTGAGACTTCTCCAACTTATTTATGTAGGCATTTAGTGCTATGAATTTTCCTCAGCACTGCTCTCATTGTGTCCCATACGTTTGGGTATGTTGTGCATTCATTTTCATTGAATTTTAGGAAGTCCTTAATTTCGTTATTTCTTCCTTGACTCGTTGGTGATTCAGTTTAGCATTTTCCAGTTTCCATGAGATTATAGGCTTTCTGTAATTTTTGTTGTTGATATCTTACTTTAAGTCATGGTGGTCTGATAAAATACAGGAAGTTATTCCAATTTTTTTGTATCTGTTGAGATTTGCTTTGTGACCAAGTATGTGGTCGATTTGAAGGAAGTTCCATAGGGTGCTGAGAAAAAGGTATATTTGTGTTAGGGTGGAATGTCCTGTAGATATCTATTAAGTCCATTTGAGACATAACATCTGTTAGATTCCTTATTTCTCTGTTAAGTTCCCATCTGGCAGACTTGAAGTGTGGCGTTTGATGTGAAATTTAAGATTTAGTATTGTTTCTTTTACATATGTGGGTGCCCTTGTATTTGGGGCAAAAATGTTCAGAATTGAGACTTCATCTTGGTGGATTTTTCCTGTGATGAATATGTAATGTCCTTGCCAATCTCTTTTATTTTATTTTGAAGTCTATTTTGTTAGATAATAGGATAGCTACACCAGCTTGCTTAAGTCTATTTGGTTGGAAAGTCTTTTCCCAGCCTTTCACTCTGAAGTAGTATCTATCTTTGAAGTTGAGGTGTGTTTCTTGTATGCAGCAAAAAGATGAATCCTGATTTTATATCCATTTTGTTAGCATATGTCTTTTTATAGGTGAATTGAGTCCATTGATATTAAAGGATATTAATGACCAGTGATTGTTAATTCTTGTTATCTTTTGGTGGTAGTATGTGTATTCCCCTTCTTTGGGATTTACTGCTGTGGGTTATCTATTGCCTGTGTTTTCGTGGGTACATCTAACTTCCTTAGGTTGGAGTTTTCCTTCTTGTGCTTTCTGTAGGGCTGGATTTGTGGACAGGTATCATTTAAATCTGGTTTTGTCGTGGAATATCCTGTACACTCCATCTATGGTGATTGAAAGTTTTGCTGGGCATAGTAGTCTGGGCTGGCATCCATGGCCTCTTAGTGTCTACATTACATCTGTCCAGGACCTTCTGGCTTTAAGTGTCTCCATTGAGAAGTCTGGTGTTATTCTGATGGATCTGCCTTTATAAGTCACTTGGTCTTTTTCCTTTTCTTCTCTTAATATTCTTTCTTTATTCTGTATGTTTAATGGTTTAATTATTGTGTAGCAAGGGGACTTTTTGGGGGAGTCTAGTCTGTTTGGTGTCCTATAGGCTTCTTGTATCATCATAGACACTTCCTTCTTTAAGTTGGGAAAGTTTTCTTCTATGATTTTTGTTGAATATATTTTCTGTGCCTTTGAGTTGGTATTCTTCTCCTTCTTCTATCCCTATTATTCTTAGGTTTGGTCTTTTCATGGTGTCCCAGATTTCCTGGATGGTTTGTGTTATGACTTTTTTGGCTTTAGTGTTTTCTTTGACTGATTAATCTATTTCCTCTATCATATCTTCAATGCCAAAGGTTCTCTCTTCCATCTCTTGCATTCTGTTGGTTATGCTTGCATCTGTAGTTCCTGTTCATTTACTCACATTTTCTATTTCCAGCATTCCCAGAGCTTGTGTCTTCTCCATTGCTTCTATTTTAATTTTCAGGTCTTGAACTGTTTCTTTCACCTGTTTAATTGCTTTTTCTTGGCTTTCTTTAAGGGATTTATTGATTTCTTTCATTTTTTGTTTGATACGTGTGAAAAGGACTTAAAGAAAAATTTAGAGCTGTGTGTGGTGGTACACACCTTTAATCCCAGCACTGGGAAGGCAGAGGTTTGTGCATCTTTGAGTTTGACTTTTCCTCAATTTCTTTAAGAGAAATTTTCATTTCCTCTTTAAAGGCCTCTATCATCTTCATTCAGTTATTTTTAAGGTCGCTTTCTTTTGCTTGTTCTATGTTGTGATGCTCAGGTCTTGCTGTTGAAGAACCACTAGGTTCTGGTGGTGCCATATTGGTCTTTATATTGTCGTATGTATTTTTGCACTGGTGTCTACTCATCTCTTCCTTCAATAGGTGCAAGAGGTTTCTGTGTCTGAGAGCTGTCCTTGGTCCAATCTGTGCTTTCTGTGTCTGTGTCTCAGGGGACCAATCTTGGTCCAGTCAGATCTATCAGATTCTGTGTCTCAGGGAGCTGCTCTTGGTGCAACCAGAGCTCTTGGTCCAATCAGAGCTGGAGGATTTTGTGTCCCTGGAAGCTGCTGAAATTGCAGGGGAATGGGTGGGTTTGAGGTAGGCAGTTGGTCTTGTAGATTGCAGGGTCCAATGGGGGTTGTTGTGGGGGAGGCATGCCTGCAGAAGTCTCTCTGTAGGCTTGCAAGTGGTGAATAGCAGCTTACATATAATCATGTATGACATGGAAGTGGAAACAAAACTGTATAGAGATTGAAGGAGAATACCAGGAAGTTAGCAGGAAAGAAGGAGAGAGAAACAGACCTATGGGGAATATGCCCAAGGTACATTACACGTGTATAAAAATGTCTTTGTGAAACTTGGTACCATGTAAAATGAATACACGCCAGTTTTTAAAAAGGGAGAATGGAGTCTTAAGGAATACTAATTTCAAGATCCCCATAGGAATATGTTTGCAAATTGTAGTGATCATCAATATCTTTGGTTTATTAAAACACACAATTCCTCTATTACTTGTTTACCACAACAGCAGAGGTAAACTTACTATAAATGAAAATGTCAGTTCTATAAGGGTTAGAATGTTCACATTACCCATTTAATGATGTATTTAAATTCTAAGTGGGAAATACACTGAACTCATGTTGCTGGCAACTTCTTCTATGCTCAGTACAGACATCACGAATAGTAATTTATCAAACTTAATTGAATGCTTCATGAATTGTGCATTATAATTACAGGCTTGGACTATGGTTGTAAGATTGACCAATAGGCTTCTCAGGATTATGGTCAGATAGCAACTCCCAACAACTGAAGTCAGCATTGAAGTTTAGTTAACTGTATCTATCACTACATAGTCACAAACTAGAATATATTATTTGTTTTTGCATGTGTATATGTGTGTGTAAATATGCCTATTTGCACGTGTATGTGTGTGTCTGTATATGTATGTGTGTGTATGTGGAGGCCAGAGGTTGATATCTGTTGCTTTCCCTCACTCTCTGCCCCTATGTATCAGGTCAGGGTCTCTCTGTGGAACCTAGAGCTCACTGACTACAGTTCAAGGTAGTCGGCTTTCTCTAGGGATCCCTTGTTGCTGCACCCTCCCAAGGGTTGGGATTATAGGCAGGCCACCTTGCTCACCTGGGATCTGGGTGAGTGTTGGAAATCTAAGATTCTAACCCTGGGGCTTGCTAAACCATTCTTCTCAGCCATAAACTTGAATAGTTTTGACATTTTGGTTGTGAGCCTGGCCTTTAGCAGCTACACTAGAATATTTTTGAAGATATATTTTTAGATCACACAGTGTTGACAGCACACTTGTAGAATATTCCACATTTCACATATATCATGTACCTTAATACATACAATGTCCATAAGAGGAAGATAGTGTAATTTTTATTGTACCAATAA